CAGCGACATATTAATTGTCAACTTATTCGCAAAGAGATGATAACGTAGTCAGCCTGGTACTAATATTATTTGCGTTTAAACTACACAGAAGGCTTATGATCAACAAATAGAAAACAAAGATTGAGATCCAGATTAGAGATGGAATGGAAGCCTGGGTGATACTTGTACTGTTCCTGGTAGCCTGCGGCATGGCGGTTTTGGTTGGGCGTGCTAAGTAATAAAGGCACTCAACGTCAATTTTCGCAAAATATCTGTTCGGAAGACGATTTGAGATCTAGAATTTTCGGAACATTTGTTGTAAAATTTCTTGCTTGCCTTCCTCTCCTATAGGATTTTCGAACATCCAAAAATTGGTATAATTGCCCATTTTTAACAGATTTTTACCCTAAAAAAACTCACCTAGATTTTTCGGAAGCCATTTTTTCTGGCTGAATTTTTCGAAAAGGTAACTTTTGATCCCTATAATTTTCGGATCGCTAGACTTTCAGCTAGGAAATCCGAACAGAAGAAAAATTTTTAGGGGATAAAAATATGCCCATATCTACCGTTTTTATACTAAAATACGTTTAACAATGCTAGTGGTTTTGAACTATATTCTCGTTGGGCGCCCCTGGGTGTTCAGAGAACCGAGGTTTTGCCAGAACAGTAGAGTGCTTTTTATACTTAAATATTTACGTATTTCGACTTTAAAAGCCCTATCCATATTTCCTCAACCCTGTCCGCAACCGCGTTACTTGGCCCTCTGTAAGATTGCCTTCTGACGATGATCGGTATCGTGATACAAGATGGGGCGAAACTTTTAGTTGAGATGAATGGTTTGAGAAACAATATTGCCAAATGCCTACCGTCTTAAGGGACGGACCATTAGGAAAGTTATGGGGGAGGGGAAGGGGAATTTTCGAGACGCAGAAATTTTGTTTTCGTTATCAAATTCCTTGAATGACATTTTTCCAGGCCATAGCATGAATATTTTTTAGGATTAATTGGCGTGCATGCATTTTTTTTCATTTAATTTTCCCTTGCGCGAATATTTTTTTTGTACTTCGCCCCCCCCCTCATAAGTTTTCTAATGGTCCGTCCCTAAGTTAAGTTTGTAGAATACATTAATATTTTATGTTCTAGATAACAGATTTTATGCCGATTTTATAGAATGCAACAGTCATTTTTACAGTTTAGTCTTTGAATAAGCGCATATCGGGTTTACTTAACAATGTTGACAGGGAAATAAACGGAAAAGATGTGATTTTGATTAAGATGGCCATGTCGGCTGTCTTTCAAGTTTAAACGATGAACCGGTTGCGTGACAGTATCCTTCGCAGCCGCTCGGGTCGGAGTCACCCAATGCACTTCCGGCCCGTAAGACTACAATCTTACCCAGATTAATGGAAAACCTATACCCCACCCTCCTATCTGAAATGGTGTGTCGCGGCTTCATCCTTGATTCTGTCCAAAATTGTAGTTGTGTGAGGGCGATACTCTTCCGGAATACGAGGTTGGGGACTATATTAAAAGTATAGAAAGCAGCAAAGAGGAACTAGCTATTGCAAGGGAAAAGGGAAACAGAAAGAGAAGCATCAGTGTGCGATGTTCCGGCCAGGTCTCATCTGCGCATCGGAGGATACAAACAGAGTATTGAGTACGGTAAAAAAGCACTGAGCATTGCCAGGTATGTACGAAAGAGGGAAAGAGAAATGGACGCACCTGTTGCTCTTTCAGGTTCGTATTATGAGGTTGGTGACTGTCATGATCTAAGCGTAGAATGTGGCAAGCGAGCCCTGAGTATTGCAAAGGAAGTAGGAAACAGAAAAAGAAAAGCGGACGCATGCGCTGTTCTAGCCTGGCCAAACACAGCATAGAATACGGAAAACAATAGCCCATTTCCGAGTTCTCGCATTTTAGAGATCTGGTTCCGAAATTGACTCGCGAGAGCGAGGCTAAGTGCATTGCATCCTATCAAAATTCAGAAACAAGCGTAAGGCATTGCAAAGGAAAGGGCGCAGGAAGCTGCCGCGTGCTCTGTTTTGGCCAGGTCGTACTACGAGATTGAAGAAAACGACATAGCATAGAATAAGGTAAACAAGAGCTGGTTACAGCAGATGCAAAAGAATTTCGGAAGGGTAGTTCTGCTGGGCCCAGTTGTTCGAAGGCCGATTAGCGCTTAACCCGAGGTTAAATTTAACCCGGGTTTCTTTCTCTTGCGTTTAAAAGCATTTTCTCGGATAATTTCTCTGTTATTTTTAAAGTTTTCAAAAATCAACTTGTCGACAAAAAGAATTCAAACTGAAATGATTTTTAAGCTTTCATATCTGAATTCAAATCTCGCACTAACCCTGGGTTATCTTAACCCAGCTTTGAACAACTCGGCCCAGGTAAAGACGGCAAAGAGTTCATAATCGGTTTCATTATTCCTCTAATCAAATGTACTGTTAGAATGAATTATTGTTTTTAAATTACTGGTCAGGATGAAAAGACGCAATAATAGCTTCACCTCGTGAAGTTTATTGACCCTAACATTTGCGATGCTATGACTTATCAGTTCTACCGAACTGTTTTAATAAGTGACTGGACATTAATTGCAAGACCAAATAGAATCATGGCTTAAATGCCGTGTTTGAAAGAACAAGTATACCACTGTGTTGTGATGTTTTACAATCATGCCAAGGTCATTAAAGAAATCCAACATAGTGGCAACTTATCCTCCTCTTCGATGAAACACACTTTCTGGATAATTGTCTAAAGCTAACCGAGGTTCAAAAACTAATTTACAACCATGGCTTATAACCAGCTAGCTGTGGGGAACGTCTAAGGCGAACAGTTCATCTTAGGATTTCGAATACTGATAAATGTCCTCGTTAACTAAATAATAAATTGAAAAGAAAAAGTTTCTAACTAAACCACTTAAGGAGCCAGGTAAGTATAACTTGCTATTCGAGAATAGTAGAAATCCATCAAACTTGTTAAATAGATTCTTTTTTAAAAAAATAAACTATCCTGAAAAAACACATTCGCCGTTCTTATACTAAGGAAGATAGAAAGAATGTATGAGAGCCGCTAAAATTGGGCCTGATCTCAGGTTAAACTTAGGCAAACATTTGTAGTTTGACTGGTTATGCGTCTCAAGTATGAAAACGGGTTCAAACGCATTGTGCGTCTTGTGCCCGTCTTTATACTTGACACGCATAACCAGACGAACTACAAATGTTTGCTTAAGTTCGTCCAGACGGATAATGTGTCCTTACTGTAAAAACGGCTAACTAATAATTCGTTTTAAAAAGTGGAAAAAAGAAATAAAAAAAAATTAATGTTCAGATGAGTCTGACCTCGAATTCTGTAGAGAAAATTAATACAGAAATGTTCCGATTTGTGGAAAAAATGAAGAGATCTAGAGAAACGGTTTTTTATGGAGCACTCCTACTTGTTCATTAAACATGAGTAAACAATTCTAACTAGGCAAGAAACTGATTTGAGTCTGCTACCGAACAAAAAGAATGTAAAACTTTAAAAAAGAAAAGAGCACACACAAATGATCTACTTCTAAATCTACCCTTCATTACGTCGGTAAAGTCGATTGGACATCACACTACACTTACTGTTTTTAAGAAATAAAACACTTGGCAGGTAAATTTGTTTTAAAACAGTCAAGTGACTTAGAATTTACAATCGCTGAAGGCAAAGAATTCCAACCACATATGGATCTAAGGGAAAAAGAGAACTTCTATATTTCAAGGCATGGCTCCTACGTGTCCTTGTTTTGATATCTACCAGACTATGACTCAGTTTGTACATTAGTGATAATAATCTGTCTTTCTTTCTTCTCATTTCTAAAGTATCCCATTCCAGATCTCTAAGCATATCTGTAATGCTAGCTGTTCGGTTGTAATTCTGGAGGTAAAAACGTGCCGCCTTTCTTTGAACTCTTTCAAGCAACATCATCAAACAAGAACGTCTATTTACAAATTTTATAGACACCGACCTTTTGTTGACATAAAATATTTACAAATCAACTAATGGACGAAATAAGAGGATAATTCAAACTAAAAATCTGTAACTGATGGACTGATAAAGGTTAGGAAGACGCCGATCCATCTGCATCTGGTATTAACCTGTTGAAAAAAAGTTTTTAGTGGTGTGGGGATGTT